GTACGGTCACGGTAGCCGAGCGGTCTAAGGCATGTACTGTCTTAGCTCGCCTGGAAACCGGGATCGTGGGTTCGAATCCCACTCAGGGCATGGATGTTTAGTTTGTGTGTGTGCCTTTTTCTGTGTTTGTGTACAGGTAGAGGCCTTGCGACGAGCTGATCACCCGCCCAAGGAGTCCTACCGAATGTGTAAGATCTAGAAAAACCGAAGTGAACGGAGAAGTTCATGGAGGTAGGCCTAGGCCCACTGGGGCTGTACTGCCAAAGGGGGGGGGAGAGCAAGTGGTACATACGTATAATAAGCGCTAGATGTTAAAAGGGTAACTGAGTGTCACCCGACAAATTACTCATTATTTAACCTACAAAATAATTAGTAACTCATTAACACATTAATTCACCTCATATTCATTCATTCAATCATTCACTCACTCAGCCCTTCATAGACCACTGTAGGTCGCGGTGCAAGGGCCGAGAAGGCCCACCCCTTATACATACATACATATATTCATTCATTCATTCATTCACTTCACTCCTTTGTGACTCAATTCTTCGCTCATGAATTGACATGTAACTTGCTAAATCGCCCTGTAATTAAGTCAGTAACTAACAAGTAATTAATTAATTCAGTCACTAATTCATAACACAGTCATCCATGAATTCACTCAAAATCTCACCAATGAACTTAACATCTCAGTCATGTGGCAGCCATTCCTAACTTAGTCACACAAGCGTTAACTATATAAGACCACGCGGTATATTGTTAAACTTCAGTATTAACCGTTCGGAGCACGAATTTGCTCAGGCAAAAGGCAGTTCCTACTTCAAGGAATCATAATTCAATATACTAACCAGCTGATTAACATAATTTAGGGAAGTCTTTGCTCTGAAACTCACAACAAGTAAACTTATCCCTGCGCTTAATTAACTAAACACCACTCCATAAAGACGTATGGAGGAATGGAGGTATACTTCCAACATTCTGATCCTCGGCATTAGATGGATGTGAGTGGTCAACTTCACGCTCCTTCCGCTTTACTCCCGGGGAAATATCCTCCGGTTCCCATTGTGTAGGAGGCTGGGTGGGCCCCAGAACCCGTCCGGATCTTACGGCGAAGAGAAAAACCTCTTGTTCCCGCTGGGAATCCAGCCTCGACTCGTCGGTCGTTCAGCTCTTCGTCGCTATGCCGACTGAGCTATACTGGCTCTTACGTGTATTTTGGAACACGTAAGAAACATAAACACACTGCGAGCAAAGTGTTTAGCCTTTTTAATTTTACAGCAGTTGGCACAAGCAGTAACCATGGCGCTTTTTAAGTGAACACCCGCAGTTCAAGTAACTTACCCGGATGGTGGCGTATATGAACGGACGATAACCTACAATGCGGCACAGAAGCATATCTGTTGCAGTTTGGACTACAAGACGCACATCCTGCTTCTTAACAGCGACAAAGTTCGGTGATCAATATCACTATGAACGACACAAGCCGTAATAAGAAAAAATTACTTGTTCAAGGTTCCGCACGAAATATTATAAATCGGAATACAATTGGTGAATACAGTAAATCAACATAATCTCAAAACCACCCACCAGACCGAGACACTTCTTCTTACAAACGCATATTTTCGACACAAATTCTTCGATTTTGACATGTTATATACATAGGAAATACGAAATAAAATCTGAACCCTTGGTACGTTCCCCAACGCCGAACCAACCAGCGATTTCCTGTCCCCACTTGACGCTTCTTCACGACTGGAAACGTTACTCCACCACAAGCGACAGACGGCACTTATCTAAAGACGTTCTAAGTCAAATTGATCAGATCTTGGTGCGGTACCGTTGCAATGTGCCTTGCGCAAGGCAGTCATTACTGCTAGGTATATATAGATTGCCCCTTCCACTCCTGAAGTCTTCAGATCGATACCTTGTGCTGTCCCGTACCGATCACCTTCCCCATGACCTTCACTCTTTCTCAAGGTCGAAGCATAAAACAGAAATACGTCATATGCAAAAGAGAAACATAGCATGAACACTAGCGCTTAATAGCCACTGCAGTGTTTCAAAAATTTATTTATTTATGGTTTATTCTATGATGCTGTCAGTAGTTGGGATTATGGTAGCATGTTTCATGAACAATGAATTCGGAAGAATGAACGGACATGTTGGTGTAGCAGTATGGCTCTGGACTTGTGGTGGGAAGGTGACCGGTTTTTTTCCTGACCGAGACAACGGCTATTCTGGCTGAATTTTCTCAATGTTTTTCCTCAGTACTTCCAGGATACTGTCAGGAGAGTACATCGGCTAGGCCATCACCGATTCCTTTCATTTTTTTCAATTCTTTATTCACTGATCATTGCACCATTCGAAGCTGTGGGCAGAGACACTAATAATGTTGTTAAATGAACCCAGGAAAGAAGAGATGGGGACAGAGCGGCCGGAACTGAATCTGAGGTACCCTCGTGGCATTTTGCTTATAGGGACTAGGGAAAACCACAAAACTCCAGATTCACAATACCGCTTTTCGGCCCAAGATCTGAACCTGGAGTGCTAAAACAGTGGACCGCGAAGGTCGGCAGTCCAATGTTTCAAACAGTGGAGATATCAGACGCCATTTCATCTGCAACATCCGACATGAATCCATGGGCCTTCATACATCCGAACAAAAATGGAGATAAACAGCTGAGGGCAATGAGCCTGAAACGTCACGAAGAGATCATAATCTTAAAAGCAGTGGTTATTTTTGCTATTACTCTAAAGAGTATTTCTGAATGGTCACTGCTTGATTTGAGAAACGAAGGAGTCCAAAAGTAAAATCAATTTCAGTTCACCTTAAAGCAGTGTTGGCGGAATCGAAAACTAGAGAGAATACGGAAAGTGGTTCATTCTGATGAAATCAAGAAAAGTGTGCAACTTTGAGGCTAGGAATACGTAGTCTACAGAACGCTGGTGGATAATGGGCCGTTTGGAGTCTGTCATATTGATTAGTGTTGTGTGTGTCCAAATACTTAAAAACTGAAATATTCTCAAATTATTTATTATACAGAGGCCTATACTATTATTATGTGGCCCGTGTGACAGCTTAGGCTGTATGGCGCTGGCTTCTTACGGAGAAGCGTCGGGTTCGATGCTGGGGGACTTCAAGGGAAATTCGTGGAGGAAGAACTGACACTGGAGCAGGGTTTTCTCCGACTTTCTTCCGTCTCACACGATAATCTACATTCCACCGTTGTCTGTAACCGCTCCTGATCAGACAGCGCATTATCACATCCTCGGGCTTTTAGAGCTTGGGGCTTCATCTGTGACATGGCAAGTAGCTGGTTGTATGGTAAGGAGGGTCCTTATATTGTATCGTGTAGATCCGTCTTCTTGTCACTTCTATCCGCCCCTCTATCTTTCCTTCGATAACTTCTTTTAGAAGGCAGTTTCTGCGTAAAACATGACCAATACAATTAGCCTTCCATTTTCTTATTTTGTGTAGGATATTCCTCTGCTCACTGACTCTAATTAACACTTCTTCATTTCTCACATAATCGGTCCAACTGATC